TTTTTTTTTTAAGTAGGTGCTTTAGACCACTGAGCCATCTCACCAGCCCCACTAACATCATCTTGATGACACAGGTAAGCATCGTGTGCCACTCAGGAGGACACAGAAAGGACAGACACTGCCTCTGGGATAATCCTGCCAAAGATGGAGCACTGTATCCAGTCCTGTGAAGGTCTGAGCCAGTCCCACCGTGAACAGCAAAAACTGTCCCTGCTGTCCTCATAAAGTCCAGGTCAGGAACCCAAGGAGAGATTGAGGAGCTGTTCAAGTTGAGGAAAACAGGGTGGTGGCCAGTGCCCAACACCCTAAATTAGAGCTGGTTACAAGGAATAGGTCTGTTGAAATCACCACTAGGTATAGGCGGGCTTGGGGGGCTTGCCTGTGAATCTGAAATTGTTTCAAAGTGAAATTATTTTTTAAAAGAAGCAAGGGACAGGGAAGATAAAAGTAAATGAATGAGGGGCCGGGGAGATGGCTCAGTAGAATAAGTGCTTGCCTGACAAGCACAAGGGCCTAAGTTCAATCCCTGGTTCCGCAAAAAAAAAAAAAAGTAAATGAATGAATGCAACAGGGATCCTTTCTGTCTCTCTTGTTTATTTAAACTCACCTTTATTTTTATTATTTTTTTTAATTTTTTTTCTCTTATTTATTTGAGACAGAATCTCACAATGTAGTTCAGGTTGCCGTTGAAGTCACTATGTAGCCCAGGTTGGCTTCAACTTGTGGTGATCCTCCTGCCTCAGCCACCCAAGTACTGGGATTACAGTCCTGTGCCACCACAACCCGGCTTCTTGTCTTTCTTCCCCAGCTCACCAGCCAGATCCAGAGGGCCCAGCAGAAGTCTCCAGGGCCCCAGACCAATGGCACAAGAGGAAAGGCCCCTCGTGCCCCAATCACTACTGTACAAACTCAAGCCGCCCTTCTGAGCAAGCAAATAGTTCCAGCCTTCCCCGTCCTACCTCCTGCTGCTGTTGGCCGGGATCACTTTCCCCACTTCGTCACCTCAATACACCTTGAATACCTCCACCACCTAGTCTAGATCTTGAGTTGTCCTGAAGAACCCGTACTTGGGCACCCTCTCTAGGTCTCTGAACATCTTCCATGGAAAAAGCTACTCAGCTCCTTGCACTAACAGGTGCACACACCAGAATCACCAGAGCACCCTGGGAGCGCCTTGGTGGCACACATGCAGGAATACACCCCTCATGCCCGCTCCAGACCTCGAATCCAGCCCCCCACTACCATGCAGGACTTGTCTCACACGGGACCAGCCCTCTGCCTCACGGGAGCGCTCTGCTGCTGGCTGGAGTTGGCATTCGACAACTAGATGTTACAAACAGCACTCTGAGGTGCTAGGTGGCACATGACTACCTCCCAGGGCCAGCCTGGCAGGACAGCATTCCAGGCAACAAAACTCCAGCCAGAAAGCAGCCCAGACATGGTACATTTTCTTTCCCTACTTAACTCATAAAAAAAAAAAAAAAATCCAACCTAGCAAAGCACAGGTCCTGTGCAGAGGATCATGTTTATTTCCAAGACACAACTGCACGTTCTATCCTCTATCCCCAGACTCAGGAGGCCTGGGGCTGGTAAATGAAGGCACCGTGTCAGAGTGAAGGCCAGGCGTCCCGGCTCTCAGCGACAGCCTGCCTAGGGGTGTGGAAGAGCAGGGCCCGGTGCTGAGGTAGCCTGAACAAACCCCAGGGCTGCCAGCCCACAAGACACAGGCAGACACAGGCAGTGGCCCTTGGGGGAACAGAGCAGCTTCTGCCTACCAGAACCAGTGCTCCTGTGCCACTGTGACTTGGGTCCCAGACGGGAAGGAACATGGCTTCCTAGGCTGAGTCTACTACTGGGGCAGAGAGAAGTTCTGGCTCAAGGAAACACCCCAGAATGAGTTGTCAGGCTGAGGTTCCATGAGGCTGGAAAGAAGTCTGATCCTGGGCCCGAGGCTCAGACTGTGGTCAGCAGAGAAGACAAGGTAGCCCAGCTGGGATGTGACCAGTCAGGAACGGACCCTGGATCCTAAGCCAGCCGCTACCTTATCACTTCCTATGGTCCCTCTTGTCTGCAGAGGGTGACACAGCTTCAGAGCTTGCTCCTTGGGATTGCAGGAAGGGGCCGCTGCAGCCGCCACACCACCCTGACGGGCTCAGTAGTGCGGTCCAGCTCTCGGAGGCCACCCAGGTCCCCAGTCTGATGGTACCGCTGCAGCGCCGGCTGGAGCACCGTGATGGGAATGCTGAAGTTCAGGTGTGGGTAGGTGGCCCCTGTGTTATTGTCCCGGGTGTTGCTGGCGACGATGCCTGTTAGGGTTCAGAAAGCAGAGGAGGACGTGAGCCAGGGCACAGACGGATGACACAGGGAGGACCATCTCTGTTCTGCACTGCTGGGGCCTGCTGAGGGCTGGAAACGCCCGGGTGCCCACGTGACGCCACTGTGCTTCCCGCCATGAGTACCTGCTCCTCAGCGCTGGGCTCTCCTCTCCCCCACACCACCTGCATCTGACTCTCCGGTTGCCCTGTTTGGCCCACCTCTCTCATCCACAGTTTCTCCAGCACTGAGCACGGTGCCTGCCAGAGTAGATGCAGCAAACACCTGCACAGTGAAAGAATGAGCGAGGCGGACCTGCGACGCCTCCTGTTCGGGGTTTTGTTTTTTTTTTAGTACTGGACGTTAAACCCAGAGCCTGCACACTGAGATACATCCCTGGTCCTTTTTAATTTCTGACTCAGGGTCTCAATTACCCAAGGTAGGCTTGAATTTATAATCCTCCTGGAGGGCCGCAAGGAAAGCCAACATTTT